ATGAGAAGAATATGGGCATCGGGGAGCGTGAGCCAAATTAGGAGCTGCAGGGACCCCTCCCCAGGACGCGCAATTTAGGCCCTCGCAGAAGCAGTTCCAAGGAAGCCGTCTTCTCCCCGCATCGCCCGCAGCCCGGCGACCCCCTCCCTCCTCCCCCTCGCGCAGCCACGGCGGGCGCATTCTTCCTTTTCGGTCTCTTGCGCGCTCAGCCGAGGCAGGCTCAGTGGGCGGGAGGGATTCCACTTCACGGCCATGGGCACTCAGGCTCCCGGGCCACCCACCGCTGGAGCAGGGCCACGAAGCCTCACGGGAGGGATCTCTGCAGCAAAGGGAAAATGGGGCGCCTCCCTCCCGCCTCCACGTGTCCACCTCCAGGCAGCCTTGCTGTGTTCCCCAGCTGCTCCGCGAGGTCAGGAAAGACCCAGCAGGAAGCTTTAGCACGGAGGTGACGCGTGTTGTCCGAAGGTAGAGCATGGATGGCGCTGCAGGACTGGCGCTGGACTGAAGCCACGCTCCGGAGAGGCTCTGCCTGCAGGTGTCCCAGTCTGGGCGAGGGGCTGAGGGCCGGGGCGGGGGAGAAGCGGTGAGCTAGGACCCCTCCTGGTCTGAAACAACCCAAGGCAGCTCATATACCAAAGCACGAAGCCAGCTAGAGCCATACAAAAGTCGGAATAAGGGTGTCCTTCTGCGCCCATTCGGAGGCTCCGCCACTCTGTGATCTGCTCCAAGACCCTCCCAGCCATCGGTGTCAGACGGAGGGCCTGCAGTTCGCTGGACCTTCCGCCTTCTCCTTTAGAGGGCGAGGATCGCCTTTGCTCTCCCTGGTCGCTTAGCATGTCCCCAGACGGTACTCGCTTCTCCAGGCAGAGACGGGACGTAAAGGCTTGGCCGGACCACTGGTGGCTTTTTCAGACCACGGCGGCTGTTCATCTGCCCGGAGAGTTCAGCTCCAATAACGAGAGAGAGATTCTCTGAGCGTGTTTTTCGGAGGAGGAGGTTCATCTGGCCCTGGAGACTCCAGGGGAGAATCTTAGAGATGGGAGGGGACATTTCGGCCCGTAACGGCCAGAGAGAAGCCTCCTCCCTACAGGCAGCGGAGGCCACCCCGAAGGATTTCCGGCCCGTGTCCCTGGCGGGTCCCGGCTCCGATGCTGCCCTTCCTCTTGCTCTGCGGAAGGTCCTGCTGGGATGCATCCTTCCTGGGGGCTGAAGGGGAAGCCAAAGGAGCTGAGCAGCCCGGGCTTTCCTCACTTTCTGTCTGCCAGTTTTTGCCTCCCTTGAGCAGCTGCTCCGCTGAGTCTTTTCCTTCATTTCGTTTTGTGAGCTAGAAGGGAGGGGTCTGGATCCCAGACGAGTGGGCTGGTGCGCGCTCGGGTTACGGCGGCGCGGAGGAGGCCGGTCGGCCAGACACGAGTCCCCTTGAAATCTTTCTTGGCCTGCAGATGCTGAGAAATCGGTTCTTCTGGTTGCTTCTTTGCAGACAGCGGACCAAAGGCTGTGGGCCAGGGAAGGGAGAGTGTGGCCTCTGGGTAGCTTGGGCGGCCAAGAGGATGGGAGCTGTAGTCCAACACTCTCTGGATGTTGTAACTTACAGCATAGGCACCTGTGCTAGACTCAAATATTTAATCAATAGATCAGATTAATCAAGGAAAAGCACTTTAATTGTCCAGAACTCTCTCCTCTTAGAGAAGGGAGGCATCTCTTGTCTCCAGAGTGCCTCCCAGAGTGCATGGTGCATGACGGAAACACGAAGGTACGTTGCTTGCCGAGCAGGGCTGGCCGTGTCTGACGCCATCTGGGGCAGCGCTCCTTCCAGCGTCCTGGCCGGGTGTCTTCTCCATAGGCTGCGGGAGCCATCCTTTCAAATGTTCTCCTGGCTGCTGCCAAGGGGCTTGGAAGGCCACTTCCTGGTCATTCTGTTTCCTTCTTCTCCAGAATGGGAAGTTTTTCATATTTTTTAAAAAGACATATAATCAAGGAGTTGGGAGGGATGCTGCAGGTCCCCTAGTCCAACTCCTCACCTGGTAGGAATCTCAGACCATCCCAGGCAAGCGGCCGCAACCTTGACTTCAAAATCTTAATGACGGTGCCCCAGTAACTCCAGGAGGCAGGCTGTCCCGCTGTTTAAAGCTCTCACAGTCAGGACCTTTCTCCTTATTTTGAGCCGCTCTGCAAAGCTTCTGCCCATCGGTTCTTGTCCTACTCTCCCCAGGTCCTACAGAGAATCAGTCCACACCCTCTTCTTTCAAAGGTGGACGGAGCTAGTGCGGATCACAGTACGCGGGCAGTTCTGGGTGCATCTCAGCCTGAGCCTGTGGCCCCTTTGCTCCGCGAGCTGCATTCCTTGCCAGGCTGCTTCCAGGTGCAATTCAAGGTGATGGTTGTCACCTAGAAAGCCCTCTATGGCACAGGGCTCAGTTTTGGCAGGACGGCCTCTCCCTGATTGTTTCTACCTATCCCATCAATCCAGCGGGAAAGGCATGCTGGGGGTCCCGTTGGCCAAAGGATGTCGTCTTGTGGGACCCTGGAAGCAGGCCTCTTAAGTTGCTGCCCCTGCCCTACAGAACACGGTTCCCCCAAGATTTCAGTCGCCCTGACCCTGCCAGCCTTTCGGAAGGCCCTTAAGACACGGTTATCTTCCCACCCTGGCGGTCAGAGTGGGACTGAGAGCCTGTGAGGCGCTATCTCGGCTCAGATTGGTTCGGCTTCTCAACCACCGCCGGTGTTGTTGTGTCTTTCGTTTTCTGCTATTTTTGTCCTCTGTAAGCGTCCTCTGAGTCGCTATGTGAGATGGGCG